CCTTAGACATATCTACTCTAGAAGAAGAGTTTGAAGGACCTACAGGAGGTTGCCTTGACATTGCTACTGTTGATGAAGCTGTAGAGGCTAGGGTAAAGGAGGGGGCCATAGTTTCAGTGGTAGACCCTTAGGACATTGTAATGGCTTCGGCCCGCCTCATTGTAAATCTTTTTATTATTAAATGAAATGAAATTTTTCTAAGTGGTTTTGCTTCTTCCACTCATGTTTGAGCTATTCATCTATATTCTTGTGATTGTTTGAATGTATAAATGCTTTAGTCAAAATAGCATAAGCTTCATTCACTAACCATAAACAGGAAAGGTGTATGAACTAAACTGAACATAATTATGAATTGAACCTCTATTAATGAAACTTATTGGTAGTACTTCCTCAAGTGTTCAATGTTTCATTGATGAGACACCGATTTCCCTTCCATGTCCTCTATCTGATAGGTGCCAGATCGGGATTCCTTGATGATGTGATAGGGTCCTTTCTAGTTTGGACCTAACACTCCAAAGTTTGCTGGTTTTAAAGCTGGGAAGACCCTTTTGAGTGCCAGATCTCCCAAGCGTAGAGTTTAGTTTCTGACCTTGGTATTATAATAATCGGTCATTTTTCTCTGATACAATGCTAGCTTCACTTGGAAGGTATCCCTCCTCTCCTCCAACTAGGGATGTCAATTGGGCCGACCCGGCTCGCGGCTCGCCAGCTCGACTCATGGAAAAGAGGCTCGTGGGCTGCTCGGGCTCGTGAAATTAAGAGCCCGAGCACGAGCCGAGCGGGCCTCGTCGGGAGGTGAGCCGAGCCCGCTTGGCTCGCCATTTAGACGAGCCACGAGCCGGTGACCAAAACGGTCACAAAAGTGACCGTTTTGGTCACTTTTCAGTGACCGTTCTGGTCATTGAATAAAAATTCAGTGACCAGAACGGTCACTGAACTTTTATTCAGTGACTGTTTGGTCACTGAATTTTATTTATTTTTATCCCCCCCTTTCTACTATAAATACCCTCTTTCCCCAAAGATTTTTTTGCATATAAATTGCTCTTTCAAGATTACAACCCTCTCAACTCTTTTTTATTATATCAATTATCGAGTTTTTACTTTCTTGTGCTGCAAAATATACAATATCAATTCAATTTTTACAGTTTATTAGTTACAATTTCAATTCATCCAATTCTCAATTCTCATAATATCACTACATTTATATTCATTTAGTCAAGATTTCATCATAAACAATCACAGAAATCGATCAACGTTCATTTGTTGAGAGCTTGTTCGATTCAGGATGTGAGCCACATCATGGAGAATTGCCTAGAACGTCGCAAAGTCAATTTCCAAATGAATTTGCTGGTCTAAATGACATACCGATACCTGAAGATGTTCACATTAACGGTCAGGGAAGCCACAATCCAATTGATTTGGATGATATTGACATTCCCGAAGTGGAACATGAAGATGAAGATCAACAATTAAATATCCCAGATGCGAGGGGAAAGCGAAAGGCCAAAAATTAAGCAAAATGTTGGAATCACTTTAAATTGATTTCAACGAAAAAAGTCGTTGATGGCCTTGCAGAATCTAAAGCAGTATGTAAATACTGCCAACAAAGATTGGTATGGCAAAAAGGAATTGGTACCACTCATCTCAATCGCCACTACAAATCATGTGCAGCCAGACATGGACTTCTTCCAGCTGGTCAAACACAATTGCAACTTGGCAGTCCAGACGCCGATTCTACAACTTCATCCCTATTCACGTGAGTGTATTCAGAAGACGATACTCGAACTGGAATGGTGAAATTTGTTGCTGCCACTGAGTTGCCTTTGGATATTTCAGACAACCAACACTTCGTCTCGTTCGTGAAAGAATATCTACAACTGAGATATGTTGGGGCAAGTCAAAACACTCTTCGTGCCGATACAATAAATTATTTCAATAATTCAAAACAACAATTAATTATGGATTTGCAACAATATGGGGGTGTTATATCCTTAACTTCTGATATATGAGAATGGGTTAATAAAAGAGCATATATAGCTGCAACCGCACACTATATAGACCCACTTTGGTGCATGCATAAGAAAATTATTGCTTTTAGAATTATTAAATTTCCTCACAATGCTAATAATATACATAATGCTATTATCAGTATTGTTAGAGAATATCATTGTGAGACTAAAATTCGATCTTTTACTTTTGATAATGCTAGTGTTAATAAAGTAGTCATCAATAAATTGTGTAGGACACTTCAACCTGATTTTGGTGGATATTTTTTTCATATTCGTTGTGTGTGTCATATCTTGAATTTAATTGTGCAAGATGGTTTAAAACATATAAAGGATGAATTTCAAAGGATTAGGAATGCATTAGTATACATTACGATCTCTCCTAGTAGAAAACAAGTATTTGAAGATTTTTGTGCCGAATTAGAGGTGATTACTGCTAAAACATTTGTTAGCGACATAGGTCATAGATGGAACTCTACATACTTGCTATTAAAATCATGTGAAGGTTTTGAAAATTTAATAACTAACTTTTATAATAATAGACATGTTAGAAATGATGACGATGGTATGTTAAATGAATCCGATTGGATTTTAACTTTGAAAGTTAAATGATTTTTGACATCTTTTTATGAGACCACAAAGATTTTATCCAGCGTTTATTATGGTGCTTGAACTCCTTTATATAATTGCAAGAACATTCCATAAATATAAAAATGATCATACTTTTAGTGAAATTTTAATTGCTATGGAATTAAAGTTTAGAAAATATTGAGAAGAACTGCCTATGTTATTTCCTTTAGCATGCGTAATGGACCCCCGATATAATATTTCGAGAACTAAATACGTAATTGATCAAATCAATAAAGTTTTAATACTTGATACACCTATCACCTATAAGAATTTAGAGCAAACATTATGTGGAATGTATGATTTATATGCGGAAAGAATGGATGCGAATGTTAGTCGGGCACCCTCTGCTGCACCTACTCCTTCTGCTAAAACTGAAGAAGATGCTGCGCAAATAATGAATTTATTTCAGAGCATTAATACATTTAGATATGATGCAACTGCAATGTGTTCATCTAGTGCCATGTCGTCTACATCTGTATCTCATCAAATATCGGTCGAAACTCAAAATGCGATGCCTGTCGAATTAATTGATTATTTCAATCATAATATGCCAACAGACAGAACAATTAAAAAAAATTTCAGAAGAAGTAATTGAATTCTGGCGAAAGTATGAAAGACGTTGGCCAATTGTTTCTATAATTGTGAAAGATCTATTGACACCTCCGGTTAGCACTGTTGCTTCGGAGTCTGCTTTTAGTGCAGGTAAAAGAGTTTTGACCGATGTCAGGAGCCGACTGAAAGAAGATGTTTTGGAAGTGTTAATGTGTGTGAAGGATTGGCAGGACGCTTATTTTCGACTACAAGATAAATACGTTGAAATTGCATGTCGTCAAGTAAGTGATATTTAATTTAATTATATTAATCAATTTTTTATTTTTTAATCGTTAAATTTAATTTTCTTTAAAAAATTATATTAGTTACAACAAGTTGTTCGTGTACAATTTTTAACTCCGCCTACTTAAAATTGATGTAGTCGGTCCCAAACCCGAATAAAAGAGGATAGTTTACATTTTATTAACTTTTAAAAAGAAATAAAAAAAATATGTTTTTTGTAAATGTATTTCAAAAAATAATTCGTTTTCATTATATAAATATTTTATAGTTTATAAAAAGTATTACAAATTATAATATGATATATATAAAAAAAATAAAAACTTGTTTTCATTAAATTATTTTTATTTTTTAACACTTTTTATTTTTAAAACTCTATTCTTTATTAACTTTAAAAAGAAATCAAAAAAATATATTTTTGTAAATATATTTCAAAAAATAATTCGTTTTCATTATATAAATATTTTATACTTTATAAAAAGTATTACAAATTACAATATGATATAAACAAAAAAAAATAAAAACTTGTTTTCGTTAAATTATTTGTATTTTTTAACACTTTTTTTATTTTTTTAACACTTTTTATTTTTAAAACTCTATTCTTTATTTTTAAAAAAAATAGGCGAGCTCACGAGCCGAACTCGCCCAATTTCAACGAGCCGAGCTCGTTGAAAACGAGCCACGAGCTCGGCTCGCCACGAGCACGAGCTGAGCTCGTGGCATTAAGGGCCGAGCTGGCTCGACTCGGCCCATTGCCAACCCTACCTCCAACAGATGGAGTTCGTATGTTTGCGCTTCGTCATTGGTGATCTCATTGAAATGTATGCACCGATGTGAAGGCACTCCCACCTCCACTGAGCTCATGACCTCGACCCCGTAGGTCATAGAGAAGGGGGTCTTCCCCGTTTGCAGTTCGGCACATGGTTTGTATAACCCAGAGAACTTAGGGAAGCTCACCAACCCAAGCTCCTTTTGAGGTGTCAAGCTTCATTTTCAGGGTATGCTTGATGGTCTTATTTATAGCCTCAACCTGCACATTTGCTTGGGGTTGATGGTGGTGTTGAGAAGTCCTTCCTTATGCCTAGATCATCGCACAAGTTCCAAATCTTCCTATTATTGGACTGCTTGCCATTGTCGAACACAATAGAATGGGGAATGCCTAATCTACAAATGATGTTTTTGAATTTTTGTAGTATTAGCCTCAGTAATATTAGCCAAAGGCGCAACTTAGACCCATTTCATGCAATAATCAATTGTGATAATGGCAAAGGTCGTACTTCCTCTTCCCTTTGGTAGTAGTCCTATGAAATCCACTCCTCATTTGGCAAACGGCCAGGGCTTGTGATAGAGTGAATAAGATTGCATTTTTAATGCTGATTGCTCATGATTATTTGCTAATATACAAGTATATTTGGGATTAATAATGATATTGTTATAAAGTTGAATGAATGTCAATCCTAATTGTGGTGTTTACAATTTTATTGTAGAAATGGAGTCCAAAAATAACAAAGTTCAAGGCCCGTAAGTGAGGACTCAATTCAAGTGGACTTAACCCAGCCCAATCAAAATAAAATAGATTGGAAAGATTAATGAAGGGAGCAAAATCTGTGGAAGACGTCTCTTGCTGTGAAGAAATCCCGAATTGGAAACACATTTGTACTGCCCTTCGCATTTTCACTATATCTCCCTCATCCGATGTTGTATTGAGCTGATTCAAGAGGCTTTGGAAAGCTAATTTAACGTGCTACAATTTCTCCTGAAATAGAGATTTTGAAATTCTCACGTTTTCTAAGTGAAAAATGGCCCACAATTCAAGGCTAAAAATCTGCCGAATTGAAGAGGCGAATTCGGGATTGATTCTCTCTTTTCCTAGTGAAGATGGCTTGAAAGGAGTGGAAGAGGAGGAAAAAAGCAGAGGACGACCAAGAATGCTGGGACCAAGGTGAATCGATTATTTTCCTTCCCTTTTGGCTATCGAAAGAGGGAAGCCACTCCAAGAAAATGGGAGACCAAATTCACTGAGTTTTTCCTTCTTCCCATCTCTTTCAATTTCTTGATGTTAACTCTTTATTTAAACTTTTCTTCAATTTTAGCATGAATTAATTTCTATCTTCTAGAGTTTGAGATGTAGCCTAACTACGATTATGTGAATCTTCCTTTACTTGAATTAATTGGTATTTGTTCCAATTGTTGAGTATTTCATTCTGGACTTAATGCTTGTGAATTGACTGATCACCATTCACTTGAGTTGGGATTCAATTTGAGACAGAGAAGTAATAATTGTTTTAGCCAATGTTTGAGATACCACAAGAATTCTGTAGGATAGAGATATCTATGGACTTGTGTAATCTTTATGGGTTTATTTTTGTTCTTAATGAATCTTGACAGGCTTAGAATTTTCACAGAGATGTAGAAAATTTTCTTGTTGCTATATTTTGTTAATGCTTGAGAAAGATTAATGAATAAATTAGAAATACTTGATTATCAACAATTAGGAACACTTACAAGTAATTCAATTAGGATATTCACATATGGGTAGTTATGGTGAATCGAAAACTCTAGAGTATTGTTTTCTTGATTTTAACTTGCTTGTTCGATTCATCTTAGTTTAAACTTTCTGGTTTAATAATTCATTTACATTCGAATTGTCAAATAGATCATCATTTAATAAATTTTGATAATTATTCGTAATTTTTCATTCCTCGTGGGACGATACTCTTACTCATTCACTTTATTACTTGTTACGATTCGTGCACTTGCGATTTCAACCAACAAATTTTTGGCGCCGTTGCCTGAGAATTAGATAAAATTATTGATGCTATCAATACTAGTTAAATTTGATCTAATTTGATTTTTTTTAATTTTTTTTATTTCCAGGTTTTGCTTAGTGCATGAGAAGCAAAAAGAGCTTGGAACTGCTGTCTTATCTAGAAATTGAAAAAATAGCAAAAAGAATGAGGAAAAAGAAGCGAGAAGCTCGAAAGAATTCAAACACTATGGCAGACAACGAGAATGGAAGACGTGACACCCGAGCTCTAAGGGATTTTGCTCTACTACAGGTCACAAGAATCAACTCAGTCATCAGGAAACCTAGTATTGCAGCCAACAACTTTGAGATTCAGCTAGCTATCCTACAAATGATCCAAACATCAATTCAATTCCATGGATTTCCGAGTGATGATCCTAATGCCCATATAGCAAGTTTTCTGGAAGTTTGTGATACCTTCAAGCAAAATGGTGTTACTGATGATGCCATTCGCCTCTGGCTATTTCCTTTCTCTCTTCGAGATAGAGCAAAAAGTTGGCTAAATGCATTACCTGCAGATTCAGTCACTAGTTGGGAAGATTTAGCTCAGAAGTTTCTAGCTAAATTTTTTCCACCAGCCAAGACAGCAAAGATGCGCAATGAAATTTCAAATTTTTCTCAATTGGAAGGTGAAACACTTTACAAGGCTTGGGAGCAATATAAAGACCTACTTAGGCGATGCTCTCACCATGGATTGCCGAAGTGGATGCAAGTTCAGAACCTTTATAATGGACTTGCTGCCTCTACAAGAACTCTAATAGATGCCACCTCAGGAGGAACGTTTATGGGCAAATCCCCAGACGATGCATATGAACAACTATCAATGGCCAAATGAGAGAATTTTACCGAAGAAAGCAGTAGGAGTGCATGAGGTTGAAGCTATCACTACTTTAATAGCTCAAGTCCATAATCTTACTCAACAATTGAAGGCCAACCAACTGACAGCAAATGCCATTCACTTGACACCACCAGCTTGTGATTTTTGTCATGGAAACCATCCGAGTGAAGAATGTCAAGTGGGAAATCCCTTCTTTCAATCCCAAGTGGAGCAAGCACACTTTGTTGCAAATTACAATCAGCAAAACAATCCATATAGTGCGACATACAACCCTGGATGGAAAAATCACCCCAATTTTTCATGGAATAATCAGAATGCATTGAAACCTCCACCTGGTCCATCATCTAGTGATCCACCGAAAGAGAAGTCAACACTTGAAGAAGCAATGGCACAATTAGCAACTAACACCAACAGATTCATAATAGAGACTAAGACCAATTTTCAGAATCAAGCGGCTTCGATACAAAATTTAGAAGTCCAAGTCGATCAATTGGCTAATATGCTAACTGGGAGACAACAGGGAAACTTGCCAGCACGACTGAAGTGAATCCAAAGGAACAGTGCAAGGCTATCACTTTGAGAAATGGAAAAGAGTTAGAAGCTCGAATTACTGGTGAAAAGTTTGAAAAAGAAGATCAAGAGATGCAACTCCACACACCAACGCTTAGCGAGGATATTTCTGATCTAGAACCAAAAGTTCCATCCCTCAATGACTCAAAAAGAATAAGCTTGATAAGCAATTTTCTAAATTTTTAGATGTGTTTAAAAAATTGCATATTAACATTCCTTTTGCAGAAGCTCTCGAACAAATGCCAAGCTATGTGAAATTTATGAAGAACATCTTATCAAATAAGAGGAGATTGGAAGAATATGAGATAGTAGCCCTTACTAAAGAGTGCAGTGCAATTCTACAAAAGAAATTGCCTCCAAAGCTCAAAGATCCAGGGAGTTTTACTATCCTTTCTTCAATTGGAAATTCTATGTTTGAAAGAGCTTTATGTGAGTTAGGTGCAAGTATTAATCTTATGCCTTTGTCTATTTTTAGGAAACTTAGACTAGGTGAGGCGAGACCTACTACAGTATCATTGCAATTAGCGGATCACTCAATAAAACACCCAAGGGGAATTATTGAGGATGTGCTTGTTAAGGTGGACAAGTTTATTCTTCCAACCGACTTCCTTATTCTAGACATGGAGGAGGATAGGGAAATTCCTATCATTTTTGGCAGACCATTCTTAGCTACTGGCCGAGCACTAATTGATGTCCAAAGGGAAGAATTGCGGTTGAGAGTACAAGAGGAGGAGGTAACCTTTAATGTTTTTGATGCCATCAAGTATTCGGATACAAGTGAGAGTTGTTTCAGGATCTGAGCAATCGACTCTTTGGTCACTGAAGTATTTAACCAACAAAAGGAGTCGTTGGAAGTTTGTTTGGTTAATCCCAATCTGACTATGGTGGAGGATCCGAAAGTGTTAGAATATGCTTTGTGGATGGATTCTTTTGGTCCTAACCGCAGAAAATATTTTGAAGTTTTGGGACATGGAACATCACGGCCCCTTCCATCTATTGAGAAACCACCCGCCTGAACATCTTCAATATGCGTATATTAGTGAATCAATTAATTTTCTGGTAATTATTTCATCTAAGCTTTCGATTGAAGAAGAGGAAAAGTTGTTAAGAGTGCTTAGAGAACATAAGGCAGCTATTGGATAGACACTTGCAGATATCAAGGGAATTAGCCCTTCTATTTGTATGCACCGAATTTTGTTGGAGGAAGATTGCAAGCCAACGGTGGAGCATCAAAGAGGACTCAATCTGACAATGAAGGAAGTGGTTCGTAAAGAGGTCTTAAAATGGTTAGATGCTGGAGTGACTTACCCAATTTTTGATAGCTCATGGATTAGTCCTGTGCAAGTAGTACCAAAAAAGGGAGGAATGACAGTGGTGAAGAATGCTAACAATGAGTTGATCCCTACGAGAATAGTTACCGGGTGGAGAATTTACATGGATTATTGAAAATTGAACAAAGCCACTCGGAAGGACCACTTCCCCTTGCCATTCATTGATCAAATGTTGGACAGGCTAGTCGGGCATGAGTACTATTGCTTCCTAGATGGCTATTCAGGGTATAATCAAATAGCCATAGCACCAGAGGACCAAGAGAAGACCACCTTCACATGCCCTTATGGCACTGTCGCCTTCCGTCGAATACCATTTGGACTTTGCAATGCGCCAGCCACCTTCTAAAGGTATATGATGTCAATCTTTTCAGTTATGGTAGAGTGGATTATTGAAATTTTCATGGATGATTTTTTTGTATTCAGATCGTCTTTTGATGACTGTCTTGGAAATTTGGCCTTAGTTTTGAAGAGATGTGAAGAAACTAACCTTGTACTTAATTGGGAAAAGTGTCACTTCATGGTAAAAGAGGGAATTGTCTTGGGTCATCGAATCTCTTCAAAGGGGATTGAAGTGGATAGAGCAAAAATTGAGACAATCGAAAAGCTTCCACCACCAACAACAATAAAAGGAGTACGGAGCTTTCTTGGACATGCCGGGTTTTATAAAAGATTTATTAAAGACTTTTCCAATATCTCCAAACCCCTTTGTAGCTTGCTTGTGAAAGAAACACCTTTTGTGTTTGATGAAGAATGTGATAAGGCGTTCTTGCTACTAAAAGAGAAGCCTGTGTCGGCTCCGATTGTTATAGCTCCGGATTGGGATCTAACCATTTGAATTGATTTGCGATGCAAGTGACTACATAGTTGGTGCGGTATTGGGGCAGCGAAGGAACAAATGGTTTCATACCATTTATTATGCTAGTAGAACCCTTAATGATGCCCAACTCAACTATTCCACAACTGAGAAGGAACTTCTTGCTATAGTCTTCACTTTTGACAAGTTTCGACCATATCTCATTGGGAATAAGGTGATAGTCTACACTGATCATTCCTCAATTAAATACCTTATCATGAAGAAGGAAGCCAAGCCAAGACTCATCCGTTGGGTTCTCTTGCTACAAGAATTTGATATTGAGATTAAAGATAAGAAGGGAACTGAAAATATGGTGGCAGATCATCTCTCACGGCTAGAGTCACAAAAGCAACTTAAGTCCCAACAACTGCCCATAGATGATAAATTCCCGGATGAGCAACTTTTAGCTATTTCTTCTGACAATCCTTTACCATGGTATGCGGATTATGTCAATTTTCTTGCAGGAAAAATCATTCCCTCTGACTTTTCTTACCTACAAAAGAAGAAATTTCTGTCGGAAGTATAGAATTACTATTGGGAAGAACCAATACTCTACAGGCATTGTGTGGACTAAATAATCAGGCGATGTGTTCCAGAAGAGGAGATGACAAATATTTTGATGCATTGCCATACATTAGAATGTGGAGGGCATTTCGGACCTCATCAGACAGCAGCTAAAGTTCTCCAATTCGAATTTTATTGGCCAACATTGTTCAAGGATTCTCATACTTTTATTGCCTCTTGTGATAGATGCCAACGCTCTGGGAACATATCTAAAAGAAATGAAATGCCTTTGCAGAATATTCTAAAGGTGGAGTTGTTTGACGTTTGGGGTATTGACTTCATGGGACCCTTTGCTTCATCCTACAACAACAAATATATTCTTCTAGCAGTAAATTATGTATCTAAGTAGGTAGAGGAAATCGCAACTCCTACTAATGATGGAAAAGTGGTGTAGAATTTTCTCCGGAAGAATATTTTTTCCAGATTTGGGACTCCTAGGGCCATTATTAGCGATGAAGCGACTCACTTTTGTAACAAGCAGTTTGAAGATCTATTATTAAAATATGGAGTTAGACATCGAAGAGCATTGGCTTATCACCCTCAGACAAATGGATAAGCGGAGATATCAAATAGGGAGGTGAAGCAAATTCTAGAGAAAACAGTTAACAATTCTCGAAAAGATTAGGCCAAAAAGCTAGATGATGCGCTGTGGGCTTATCGGACAGCATACAAAACACCTTTGGGAATGTCTCCTTATTGGTTAGTCTATGGAAAGGCATGCCATCTTCCTGTAGAGCTCGAGCCCAAAGCTTATTGGGCGATGAAGCAACTAAACATGGATCTTCAAGCAGCTGGTGAAAAGCGTTGTTTGCAAATTAATGAGATGGACGAGTTTCGTAATGAAGCTTATGAGAATGCAAGGAAGGAACGGACCAAAGCTTAGCATGATAAGCACATCTCAAAGAAAGAGTTTCTACCTGGACAACAAGCTTTACTTTACAATGCAAGGCTTCGTTTTTTTTCCAGGAAAGCTCAAATCTCGATGGTCAAGCCCATTCACAGTTGTTAAAGTTTTTCCCCATGGAGCAGTGGAAATCGCTCATGATGAGAATGAGACATTTAAAGTGAATGGACAACATTTGAAGCCTTATTTAAGTGGAGAATTTGACAACAAGAAGACAACCATTCTTCTTAATCCGGCCTAGAAGAAGAGCAACAGTGAAGCTATTGACTATAACTAAGCGCTTCTTGGGAGGCAACCCAAGCATTCAAACCTCTGTTTTGCTTTTTTTTTATTCCCTTGCAATTTGTTTAGTTTTCTATGTTCTTCTTTTCGTTAATTACTTTGTGTGTTTTCTGATTTCAATTTATTTATTTATTTTGGGTGTGGCAGTGACGCAGTTCTCCACCTTCTTGCTCCAGTACTTGAATGCATTGATGAGGATGCCAAGATAGATGAAGCTTGATCCATCTTCACCAATGAACAGGAAAGTTTCTTCTTATCATTTTTCCCTTTCTTTGTTCTACATTGAGGACAATGTTAGGTTTTAGTTGGGGGGGGAAGGGGGTTCTGAGCATGAATATATGCATTCCTGTTTGCATGAATTTAGATTTGGTATCATGAATACATTTCAATTTACATGAATTCAACTTTGGTATTTTGGCTTGATTACAATGTATTTTTGCTTGAGTCAATAGTGCTATCTAAGTAAGCTATTGAAACACCTCAGAAATTTTTTCTTTTCATACACATAAACTAAGCTCATGTGGTTTGATGGATGTGAAACTCATACAATTAGAGAACACTCAAATTAAAGTTGCAACCTTTTACACTTGTGAGAAATTGGGCCATTCTCATTTTTTTGAGAGATGTTATCATATTCTTAATATTACCTTTAGCATTGTCTCGTTACATGATCTCATTATTCCCCATATTTGGTTGACTAATGGGAATGCCATTACACGGTTTGTGGTATGTTGGTTTGATTATACTCAGGAAATGATGAAGGTCAATTTAGGATGTAGTTTAAGCCTTTCAAACCGACCAATGTCTCATTGAATAGAAGTCACTTCGAGCTAAAATCTCACCAGTCTTTGTTAAGCCATTTATTTCCTCACCCACTCCACATTGGAGGTTGAGCCTAAGTTGAACATCTCCTTTACCTTCAAATATCAAGTATGTAGTATAGATTGTGGAATATGTTGTTGAAAAAAAAAATATTCAGAAATGAATGAAGAAAGGGCATGAAAAATATTTTAAAGCAATTGGACACAATTGCAGTCGCATACTTTGACCAAATGTCTCACGTGTGGGGCCCCCTTGGTGGAAAAAGGGGCACCAGACAGCCCTTATGTCTACAAGTTGATGAAGATCCTCAATATATACTTGAGAATTAATATTTTTCTTCAATCTTCTTATCCTTCCTTTCAATTTGACCCTAGTCATATTACAACCCTTTATTGACCTTTTGATCCTAAGTGGGTCAGTGGTTAGAATGGCTGAGTTCCTATTAGTTGGCATCCTCTCATGAGATCAATTTTGTTATTTCACTCTTTTGCTCCTATTTCACTCATTTGCCCGCAGACAATTATTCCTTCCATATCTTTGAGTGGCAATTTTTTTCAATCTTCATTACCTCTGTTGGCAATAGTTTTTTTTTTTTTGGTTGAATACTACACTTAATATTTGCAAAAATAACTTTTGTCTGGGATGTTCTCGACATTGTATGAGTTTTGGTTTGACGGAAAGATGGTGAAGAGCTTAACACACACGAGTTCTAGGAGTGTGCTTTGACAGACAAACTTTGATAGCATTGTTGATCTCAAGTGAAGGCTTTGTTTGATGTGCCTGAATATTTTTGCTTAATTCGCATAAAAGGATTTTCACTTGGGACAAGTAGCAACACTCTTTCTTCGCTTGAATTGCTAGGGACTAGCAACACGCTTGTTGGGGGTGTGATAGAGTGAATAAGATTACATTTTCAATGCTGATTGCTCATGATTATTTGCTAATATACAAGTATATTTGGGATTAATAATGATATTTTTATATAGTTGAGTGAAGGTCAATCCTAATTGTGGTGTTTACAATTTTATTGTAGAAATGGAGCCCAAAAATAACAAAGTTCAAGGCCCGTAAGAGAGGACTCAATTCAAGTGGACTTAACCCAGCCCAATCAAAATAAAATAGATTGGAAAGATTAATGAAGGGAGCAAAATCTGTGGAAGACGTCTCTTGCTGTGAAGAAATCCCGAATTGGAAACACATTTGTACCGCCCTTCGTATTTTCACCATATCTCCCTCATCCGATGTCATATTGAGCTGATT